TCAAGGAATCAAAATGTTTTTTAAAAGTACACAAGTACAACACAAATCTATAGAAAGTTTGAGAAAAAATAGAGTAACTACTACCATATCCAGGATCATGTACACACTTGACGACTTTAAGCAGCACATTTTTACTTAAGTGCTCGCAATGGGCCAGTAAGATGGCTTAGCAGGTCAAGGCGACTGTCACTAAGGCTAACAACCTGAGTGGGATCCTTGGGACCCACATGGTAGAAGACCTGTCTCTTACAAGTTGTCCTTTGACTGCCACATGCACACCTACGTAACATACACATACATTGGCACATATACACACAAATTTTTTAAAAAAATTTAAGTGCTAGCAATGAAAGCTTAATTGGAGTGGGTTCCTCAGAGAATGGGGAGAAGAGAGAAGGAGAAAACCATGTAACTTTCAGTTCTGCTACACAGAGAAGTGGTATGGCTGACACAGGATTACAGAATTCTTTTTCTTTTCTTTTTAGAGATGGATAAACAGGGCTGGAGAGATGGCTCAGTGGCTAAGAGCACTGGCTGCTCTTGCAGAGGACCCAGGTTCACTTCACAGCACTCATATGATGACTAACAACCATCTGTAACTCCAGTTCCAGGGGATCTGATGTGCTCTTCTGACCGTCTCTGGAATTCCACAACATGGGTACACTTACATACATGCAGGCAATACACTCATACACATAAAAAAAAAAAAAATGAAAATAATAAAACTTTTTTTTTGGTCTTTTTGAGACAGGGTCTCTCTGTAGCCCCAGTTGTCCTGGAACTCACTATGCAGACCAGGGTGGCCTTGAACTCAAAGAGATCTGCCTGCCTCTGCCTCCCGAGTGCTGGGATTAAAGGGCACCACACCTGGCATAACCTATTTTTTAAAAATATTTATTTTTATTTTATGTGTATGAGTGTTATGCCTGCATGTAGGTAAGTGCAACTGTGTTGTGCAATGCCCGTGGAGGTCAGAAGAGGCTGTCGGATTCCCTGGAACTGGAGTTACAGATAGTTGTTAGCTGTCATGTGGGTGTTGGGATTTGAACCCAGGTCTTCTGCAAGAAAAGTCGGTGTTCTTAACCGCTGAGCCACCTCTCCAGCCGCAAAATCTATTTTTTCTTAAGATGAATAAGTATCTTCTCTTCTTCCAATGATTTTCTTGGTAAAGTCCTCTAATCTTATAGCTGGGAAATACCATTTGTGTTAAGATGATTCCCAAATTTATTATCTCCAGCTTGGACCTCTTGTATTGAATTCCAGGTTCATACCAACTACTCACTCAACATCTTTTTTGGATGAGTAACAGTCATCTCACATCACATCCAAAATTGAGTTCCTGATTATACTACTTTTCCCATCATGGTGATCAATACCTGACAGGAACAACTTAAGGGAGGAAAGGTTTATTTGGGCTCACTGGTTTGGAGGGTTCCTCAGAACAAGGTGATACTCAGTATTTACTGAATAATGAATGCATTTACACATTGATAAGAGCATATAGTAACACAGCTGGCAAGATAGCTCAGTGGGTAAAGGCCTGATGAATGGCTTAAATTCAATTCCCGGGATCCACATAGTGGAAGAAGAGAACTGAGTCCTGAAAGTTGTCCTCTGATCTCTACACATGTGCTGTGACACATGTGCCCCACTCCCAGTAAAAACAATGAAAAGAATATACTACTAGCTAGAAATTAGGTCAAGTGCACATTTCTGCCTCTCGTGTTCCATTACCTGTCAAATCTCATCAATTTTGCCTCCCAAGCACTGTTCATCTGTTCCCTCTTGGTCAATGTCACTATGTTCATCATCTTTTACCTGGATTACTAAAAATAAAATCCTTCCTAAGTAGTCTCCACAAAACCAATTCTGCCAGGCTGGAAAGATGGCCCAGCAGTTAAGAACACTGACTGCTGTTGCAGAGGACCTGGATTCAGTTCCCAGCACCCACATGGTGGCTAACTACCATCTGTAAACTCCAGCTCTAGGGGATTTGACCTTCATGGGCTCCAGGCATACAAGTAGTACACATACATATGTTCAGGCAAAACACTCATACACATAAAATAAACCTTCGAAACAAACATGCAATCCAACAAACCAATCCTGCTATCTTTAAGTCTAACCTCCAGGGTAAGGCCAAAGTAATTTCTCTCTGAGGACAGGACTAAACAATTCACCCATCTCATGCTTGGCTAAAAATGCCATTAAGTGGCTAGAGTCATGTAGTCTGTAAAAGGTCAGCCAATTTTTCTATAAAGGATCAAATACTAACTAGTTTAGCTTTGCAGAATATAGTCTGTCCCTTGTAACTACTCAATGCTAGTACCTAAGTGAAAACATCATTAAGAAATACAAGTAAGTATGTATGGTTGAGTTTTAAAAAAAAATCATTTATAGCTGGGTGTGGTAGCACATACCTTTAGTCCTAGTACTCAGGAGGCAGAGGCAGGTGGATCTTTGTGAGATCAAGGCCAGCTTGGTCTACATGGCAAGTTTTAGGCCAGCTAGGGCTATGGGGAGACCCTGTTCAAAAAAAAAAGAATCCCCCAAAAATCAAGTTAATACTTTATACTTAAACTATCGTCTCAGCTTGATTTCATTGCGTGTGCACGCGCGCGCAGACACACACACACACACACACACACACACAAAAAAAAACTATTACAGAAATGCTGCATTTCCATTTAAGTATCATGTGTGCATGCTTCTGTTTATATGCCCTTCCCAATCAAGTTTCTGGCTAATTCTTACTGTTTAAAGGAGTTAGCAGGGCAGTCCTTACCAGCCACTATGAGGTCCCAGGTAGGTCAGCCTGCCTTTCTGAGTCTTGACTCAGGTGTAACTATTCCCTTTTCTTCTGTTTTTTTTTGTTGTTGTTGTTGGTTGTTTCTGGGTCTTTTTGAGACAGGGTCTCTTCTTTCTTTCAGATGCTGGCCATAGCCTAAGCATGGTATTAAAACCCCTGTTACTTTGGACCTTCTTACTCTTTTTCTAAAACCCCCCTTCCTGCCATATGGCTGCCCTCCATTCTAGCTTAACTTCTCCATTCTCCTCCTCTGGGCAACGTGGTGCACACCTTTAGTTCCAGCACTTAGGAGGCAGAGGCAGGTAAATCTCTGAGTTCGAAGCCAGTCAGGACTACATAGTGAGACCTTGTCTCAAAACAAGAATTAGCTTAGCCAAATTCTCATCTAAAAGGCCTTCTGTAAACTCTTAAATTGGATAAGGTGCTTGATTTTCCAAAGAACCTCAATGCATACCTCTATATTCTGTTCACAATACTGTATAGAAATTTGTTTAAATCCCTACCACTAGGGGCTGGAGAGATGGTTTAGCAGTTAAGAGAACTTGGCTGGGCATGGTAGTGAACACCTGTAGTCCCAGCACTTAGAGGCAGAGGCAGATGCAGGAGGATCTCTGTGAGTTCAAGGCTAGGTGGGGCTAGAGGGAGACCCTGTTTTAATTAACCTTTTTAATTCCAGCTGTCCTGGAATTCACTATGTATTCCAGGCTGGCCTTGAACTCACAGAGATCCACCTGCCTCTGTCTCCCAAGTGCTGGGACTACAGGCGTGCGCCACCACACCCGACTGAGACCCTGTTTCAAAAAAACAAAAGAACTTACTGCTCTTCCAGAGGACCCAGGTTTGATTCCCAGCATGCTTATGGTAGCCAAGATCTATCCTTATTCAGATTCAGGGAAGCCAATGTCCTGGTCTCTGTGAGCACCAGGCACACATGTGACATACTTACATACGTGCAGGCACAACACTCATACATGTAAAATAAAATTAAAATCTTTCTTTAAAAAAGATTTTATGTGTATGAGTGTTTTGCCTGCATGTATGCAAATACACCCATGCCATGCAATGTCTGAGGAGGTCAGAAGAGGGCATCAGGTTCCCCTAGAACTGGAGTTACAGATGGTTGATAGACACCATGTGGGTACTGGGAATTGAACTCTGGGTACTCTGCAAGAGCAGCTAGTGCTCTTAACCACTGACCACCTCTCCAGCCCCAAAATAAATTTAAAAAAAATTTTTTTTTTTTTTGTCTTTTTAAGACAGGGTCTCCCTATAGTCCCAGCTGGCCTGGAACTCACTATGTAGATCAGACTAGCCTTGAATTCACAAAGATCTGCCTGCCTCTGCCTCCCAAGTGCTAGGATTAAAGGCATGTGCCACCATGCCCAGCAATAAATAAAATCTTAAATAATAATAATAATTCATCATTAGATATTTTGGTGCCCAATAGGCAGGGAAAAGATCAATCATTTTCTTAGCTATAGTCACTTAGCATACAGTTGCCATTCAAAAAATGTTTTTTGAATTGAACTGAACATTCCTAAGAGTAAGAAAACTGAAATGAGAGCTAAAATTTAACTCAATAGTTTTGATAATTGTCAGGCCATCAATATAGCTCATCTGGTGAGACATTTGCTGTCAACTCTGATGACCTGAGTTTAATGCCTAGGATCTACGTGGCAGAAGGAAAGAATTAAATTTCCCCAAGTTGTCCTCTGACCTCTGCGTGCACGCGCACACGCACACACATAAATAAATGTAGTAAAAAATTAAAAACACAGACAATTTTTGCTAATAACTTGGGTCAGAAAACGGGGCACCATAAGTTAACACCAAGAATACAGTTTTAAAAGTCTTAAAACATTTGGGGCTGGAGAGATGGCTCAGGGGTTAAAAACACTGGGTTTCTTACAGAAGACCCAGATTCAAATCCCAGCACCCACATAGCAGCTAACAACTGTCTGCAACTCCAGTTCTAGGGGATTCGATGCCCTCTTCTGACCTCTGTGGACATTGCACGACATGGGTGCACTTACACACATGCAGGCAATACATGCATAGACACATAAAATAAAAATAATAAAATATTTTTTAGAAAGTCTTAAAACATTTAATCCAGTGCCAAAGCTAGTATACCAAGAGAAAACAGAAGCCACCTTCTAGTCATTATACCGAAACATGAATTACAACTTACTTCCATTTGAAGAGCCAGCTCCACCTGGTTGTGGTAAGAATCTAAGAGTTCTTCAACAGGATGTCTGAAATAAAAAACAGTTATTGTGGCTGAAGGATATCAAAAGCAAAAGTTAATTGTTTTAGTCACAGAAAATAAATATATTCACAATCAAAACAAAGTTTGGAAACCTGCAATGAAAGTGTTAGATGCTATACCTTGTCATGACTTCTTTGTAAGGTTTTTCTATTTGATACAAGTATTTGTTTAAATCCACAGGTGCTTCATCATCTTCTGCCTAAATACAGATACAAATGTTTAAAAAAAATACATTCCTTTGTCTTTCTATTGCCAAATTAAATATGTTTAAATAGATGATGAAATATTGACTCATAGAGTGAGTCAATATTGTGAACAAAACTATATTCTTAACTGTTTTAAACTTTTCATTATTTCTGTGTATGTGTATTTGAGTATGTGTACTATGTGTACATGTGTGGAGGCCAGAGGTCAATGCTGGAATCTTCTACTGATCCTCAGCTTATTTGAGACAAGGTCTCTCACTGAACCTAAAGCTAATTAATTGGCTGCTCTGGCTAGCCAACTGGCCCTGGGGATCTACCTGTCCTTTTCTCCTCAATGCTAGGATTATGCCTGGCTTTTTATATGGGTGCTGGGGATCCATCCTCAAGTCCTTTGTCCACTGACTCATCTCCCCAGGTCCCATTTTTTTTTAATGTGTATGCGTGTATTGCTGTGTGTAGGTTAAGTGCACCTGTGTTGTGCAATGCCCATGGTCACAAGAGGCTGTCGGATCCCCTGGGACTGGAGTTACAGACAGTTGTTAGCTGCCATGTGGGTGCTGGGATTTGAACCCAGGTCCTCTGCAAGAGCAGTCAGTGTTCTTAACTGCTGAGCCATCTCTCCAGCTGCCCCCCCCCCGTCCCATTTTAAAAAAGATTTATTATGCCAGGAGTGGTGGTGCACGCCTTTAATCCTAGCACTTGGGAGGCAGAGGCAGCTGGGTCTCTGTGTGTTTAAGGCCAGTCTAGTTCACAAAGGGAGTTCCAGGCCAGGTGGAGCTACAGGGAGACTCTGTCTCAAAAAGACAAAAAAAAAATTATTATTTTTATGTGTATATTGCTTGCATATATGTACGCGCACCCATGCCGTGCAATGCCCACAGAGGTCCAAAAGAGGGTGTCGGATACCCTGGAATTGGAGTTAAGGACAACTGTTAGCTGCCATGTGGATGCTGGGAACTGAAACTGGGTTCTCTGCAAGAGCTGTCAGTGCTCGTAACCACTGAGCCATTTCTCCAGCCTATTTTTCTTTTCTTTTTTTTTAAGACAAGGTCTCAAACTAGCCTTGAACTACTGACCTTCTGCATCTACCTCCCACTGCTACGATTATAGAAGTGTACCACCATATCTGACTATAACTTCTACTTTTTTAAGTGGAAAATAGGGGGCCAGAAAGATAGTTCAGTGGATAAAGGTGTTTTCCATCAAGTCTGAGAACCAGCGTTTCATCCCTGGAACCACGTAGTAGGAGAGAACTGTTGTAAGTTATTCTCTGATCTCTACCCAGGTGCTATGGCACACACAGAGAGACACACACAAACACAGGGCACACAAAATAAACACAGTAACAAAATTTGTGGGGTTTTGGTCTCTTTTTTTTTTTTGAAGCAGGGTCCCCCTGTAGCCCCAGCTGTCCTGGAACTCAATATGTAGACCAGGCTGGCCTTGAACTCACAGAGATCCACCTGCCTCTGCCTCCCAAGTGCTGGGACTACAGGCATGTGCTACCACGCCTGGCTGACAATAACAAATTTTTAAATGCTCCTAAATCTAGTTTGTGATAAAGTTTAAGCAACACCTAAGGTGGGCTAGGTGGTGCACAGCTGAAATCCCACGTGTCTGCAAGTTCAAAGCCAGCTTGGTTTATAAAATCAGTTCCAGGCCACCCAAGGGATATATATTTTTGGACCTTGTCTCAAATATCAAATGGGGGCAGGGGGCAAAAACTAGGGCGGACTAGATGGGGATGAAATCATTCGAATTTCTGTGTTTTTTCTTCTGATAAGTTTTGTCCCATTTGCTGCTGACCCCCAATGAGCAAGTTCAAGTCTTTCCTACCATTCCATTTTATACAAAATACCAAAGAGCATCATTCCTTTTTTTTGGTCTTTTTTGAGGCAGGGTCTCCCTGTAATTCCAGCTGGCCTGGAACTTGCTATGTAGACCAGGCTGGCCTCGAACTCATAGAGATCCGCCTGCCTCACTCTCAGCCACAACCAGCAGAGCATCATTCTTTAGAAACTGAAAACTCATTCAGCATTCAAAGCTTCCTCATTCCCAATTCTGAAATTTTTACTCTGTGTAAAACTGTACTAGAAAGTCAAAACTTCTCGACAGGTAGTTCTGCATTTACGCTGTCTGCTGTGCTCTTGCAGTAAAAGAGATAATTTTTTTTCTTTAAAAAAAGGTTGGGGCACTGGAGAACTGGCTCAGCGGTTAAGAACATGTATCACTCTTGCAGAGAGTCCAAGTTAGTTCCAAGCACCCCACTCTCTGGTGGCTGCTCACAACTACCTACGACTCCAGCTCCAGGGTCTGATGCCTCTCGCCTCTGAGGGCACCTGAACTCGGTGCACATACACAGATGTACACATACATATAATTTAAAATAATAAATCTTAAAAGAAAAAAAAAAATCAAGGAGCTGAGGATACAGTTGATAGGGTGACTGAACAGCATGTACAAAGCCCTGGGCTCACTCTCCAAGCACTACATATATGAGTACAAGGTGGCCCACTCCTGCAGCACTTGGAGGTGGTAGCAGGAAGGTAAGAAGTTCAAGGTGATCCTCAGCTACAGTGTGGTATTTTGTTTGGCTGGGTTTTTTTTTTCTTGAGACAGGGTTTCAAAAACGTAGTCATGGCTGGCCTTGAACTCAGGGAGATCCACTTGCCTCTGCCTCCCAAGTGCTGGAATTAAAGATGTGCGCCACCAGCCTGGCCTTACATAATGAGTTTGGAGTCTCCCTCCCACCAAAAGACTATCAAGTTTTTCATTCCTCCATTTTACTTTCCAGTTTTACACCTCTAGATCTGAGGGGTACGGTACCTAAACTTCTGGGACTGAAGACCTGAGAAGGCACTTGCAGGGAACATCATGTCATCCCAGTCCAGTGCAGAAATAACAGAAAACAGACAGACTGAAAGTCAGTCAACTAGCAGGACTACTCTGATTCAGCGAATGCAACTGAGTTTCATAAGGTTCGTACTTACTGTTCGGGCCAGATTCTGGCACATTGCACTGAAGGTCAAGAGTTGTAATTTAATCTCTGTGTCCCATTTTCGACAATTTTGAATATGTTCATGACTTCCAAGGCAGTGATTACTGTTAAAATACATTAATTACCCACCAGTATTATTCTACTCAAATCAGAAGTTATAGAGGTGAAAGTAAAACATAAATTGTATCTGCATCAGAAATGAAAGATGGTAAAGTACATCGTTTTTAAACCAACTAAACATCTAAACAGAGGACTCATTTTGCATTGAGGAATGAGAGAAAAGAAAGAGGTAAATATGAAGATGGAAAGAAGGTTAGAAAAAATAGGGCAGACTAGCTCTAGTGGCCTAGGAGTGTGAACCCTAAATCTGAAAGCAACCGAACTGTAAGCTGCAACAAATTATCAAACTTCATACTATGATTCTTTCGGGTAAATAAAAGGCAGTAACAGATGACTGCTATACCTAAGTAACTTCACACCACACAAGGAGAATGGTATCTGCAAGCTATGTGACCACTGACTCTACAGAAATCCGTTTTATTCAGCTTCTAAATGACAACAATTTTTGTCATAAAAGGCTACTAAGCTTCTTAAGGAAACTTACTATGAAATCCCACCACCATTTTAGATTTAGTTATCTATAACTCAAAACACATTTATTGATTCAATTCAGTAAGATCCAATATATTTTTAGATTACAAATTTAAACCAAAAATTTTCTAATTTAAGCCACTGAAAAGGAAAATTTCAAAGATAATGTTCAGTAGTTAATAAGTAAACTTACTTCTGCAGAACCTCCTCTTGCCCACAAACTTTCAGAACATAGCTGCCAACATCTACTTGATTCAAGTCATCGTGCACCCAGCAAAGGGCTTGCATGATGATGATTTCTACAGTAGAACTCACTGTAAAAGAGTTAGTCATCATTTTCATCTTGCTCACTCACCTCTAAGACATTACTGCACAACAGAAACATAATGCAAATCACAAATGTAGGCCATACGTATCATTTTAATTTTTTTTTTCTTTGAAACAAGGCCTCACTGTGTAGCCCCAGCTGGCCTTGAACTTGTTCTGCAGACCAGGCTGGCCTCAAACTCAGAGACCTGCCTGCCTCTGCCTTTCCAGTGCTGGGATTAAAGACATGCCACCATGCCTGGCCATTTGAAATTATCTAGTAGTCACACTGAAAGCTGAGAAAAAAGATTATACTAGTTTCAGAGGACATAAGCTCCAAGGCAAAGAGCATATTTGGAGAGAGTATCTGATGCAACCCAGATTGGCTTCCAACTCAGTATACACCAGAGGATGACCTCGAACTTCAGATCCTCCTGCCTACACCTCCCAATTGCTAGGGTTACAGGCATGCAGCATTATGCCTAATTTATGTGGTGCTGAGGATCAAATTCAAGATCTATGGATACTAGGCAAGCACTCTACAACTGAGCTACATTCCCAGGCTTGCAAAACTGATTTTGGTAATATGTTTTAGTTAGCTTAATATATCACAGACATTAGTTCAGAGGCAGAGGCAGGAGGATCAGGAGTTTGAGGCCAGTCTGGGCTATATAGTAAGTCCTTATCTCAGACAAAAAAAAAAATTTGTATCTATATACATATAAAATCTTAACATTATCAGTACTTAAAACTTGCTGAACTATTTCACATCTTTATTTTTCTTAACCTAAGTGTGTATTTTGGATCTAAAGGATCTATCAATCTAGACCAGCTACATCTGAAGTGCTCCACAGCCTATGTTAACTCTGTGAGATAGTGAAGGCCTAAATTAAGAAAGCCAGATCTGGACCGGGCACGGTGGTGCACGCCTTTAAAACCAGCGCTGGGGAGGCAGAGGCAGGTGGATCTGAGTTCAAGGCCAGTCTGGTCCACATAACAAGTTCCAGGTCAGCTGGGGCTACAGGGAGACCCTGTCTCAAAATAAACAAATGGGGGGAAAAAAAAACCTAAAAGGAAAAAAAATCACTATTTCGATATTTGTATGGAAAATTTTCTAATGAACAAAAATAGAGCAAATAGTATCACCAGTATTACTTATTCTCGGCAAAAGTGAGCCGCTAACGACAAACAGAATAAAAATTTTTATTTTATGTGTCTCAGTGTTTTGCCTGCATGAATATACGCGCACCCATGTTGTGCAATGCCCAAGGAGGTCAGACTACGATGTCGGATTCCCTGGAACTGGAATTATGGACAGTTCTGAGCCTCCATGTGGGTGCTGAGAACTGAACCCATGTCTTCTTTCTGCAAAAGCAGTTAATGCTCTTAACCACTGAGTCATCGCTCCAGCTCCCAAATTAAAACTATTTCTATACTTAAAGCTCCTATGTTCAATTCCTTTCTTGTCAGGGTCTAACACTATAACCTAGGATTGCCTGGAACTCACTATGTAGTCTAGTCTGATCTCTAACTCATAGCAATCCTGCCTCAGCCGCATGAGTGCTGGGATTATAGGTATAAACCACCATGCCAGGCTGCCTATGTCCAACTTTGAAAAGACAATACAGCTCTTAAAATATATGAAAATTAGTCCTAGCACTTGGGAGGCAGAGGCAGGTGGATCTCTGTGAGTACAAGCCCAGTCTGGTCTACATAGCGAGTTCCAGGTCAGCTGGGACTACAGGGAGACCCTGTCTCAAAAAGACCAAAAAAAAAAAAAAAATTGGTGATTTGGTAGAGAAGGCCTCTATCTACTAAAATACCCTCATAATAGAATGAATATATGTATATATATACACATATATATTTTTGGTCTGAGACAGGGTCTCCAAGCTGTCCTGTCACTCACTATGTAGACCAGAACTCACAGAGATCCGCCTGCCTCTGCCTCTGCCTCTCTCAAGTGTTGGGATTAAAGGTGTGCGCCACCACGCCTGGTATAAAATAGGTATATTTTTGAATATACAAAAACAAAAACTTATAATCTGATAGTACAGCCTATTTCTACTACAATATGCTTACAATTTTTCCCCAGTTTTAAAAAATATTTTATTTATTATTTGTATATGAGTGTCCTGCCTGTGTGCATGTAAATGCACTTTTGCAGAGGCCAGAGATATTGGAGCCCCTGGAACTGGAGCCACAGATGGGTGTTAGATGCCATGTGAGCATCAGGAACTGAACCCAGGTCCTCTGGACGAATGGCCAGAGCTCCCAACTGCTGAGCCATCCCTTCAGCCCCATTCCAGAGTTTTAAGGACTGAATGCAGTGTGTTTCCCTCATACTAGTGAGGGCTGCACCACTGAGCTATACCCTCTACCCAGTTATACTTAATAAAGATATATTATAAATGTACACACCTAAGACTAACCAAATAGACATTTGTGATATTTTGTTTGTTTTTGAGACAGGGTCTCACTATGTAGCCCTGACTGGCCTGGAAGTATGTCGACCAGGCAAGCCTTGAACTCACAGAGTGCCACCCAAGTGCTACGATTAAAGCACGTACCACCATGCCCAGCTGTGATGCATTTCTGAGATTCATCAGATTTGGTGTAAGTTAAGACTTGGTACAAATCAAAACATAGCTTTTCAATTTTTAATGATGCTTATTTCAATGTGCCTGTAGGCCAGTTCTTTTTTCAATTTTTAATATAAATTCTTACTGAATACCTAGATTTAAATGATTTTAAAGAAATAATTTTTCCCCTAGAAACCAAAGAACTGGGGGAACAGGCGTAGTTAAAGGCCAGCTAGGGCTACACACTGAGACCCATTCACTGTTCAAAAGAAAAGAAACAAGAAACTAAAGAATGATTATAGTTGGCTAACATTTTTTTCTGTTCCAGATCTACAATTTTTTTGTAAGAGCTTTCCAAAGCACAAAGCTAGAAAGTATACAAATATTGGACACATTTGGGTAGCAGCTTGGAGCTCAGCAGACCTCCAGAAAGTGCCAGGTTCTGACCTCCCTCTGGCCTCCAACTACCAGAGGGCCTGAGAACCCAGGGGACTGCCTGACAGCGCCCGGATCCTGTCTCCACTTGGTGGTCCTTTTAATAAGATGATGCTATACAGCAGTCCCTTCTGCATGATATAACTGCCATCATCACGACTTCAGCTGAGCCTGATCGCTAAACACAGTCACAACTGGGCTTATAGACAGTTGTGCTCATTTATCAAGGAGTGCCAAGCAGGGTCACTGGCCCCTCACCTGAGTATCCAGCCACTCTTCCCAGCCAACTAGTCCAGCCTTGGAAGACAAAAGAAAAATGAGGAAAAGCCCAATAGAGGGATGCTTTTGGAAGCCCTTGTCAAGAAACTCCAACGGACTCTCATATGAACATTTGAAAATTGCCCTGTTCTGACTTTTTGCTAGTTCCCAGTCTAGAACTTGTAATGTTAATTACTCTTGCCTTTACTTCTCCTTCACATCTCCTATTCAGGATTCAAGGACCTTCTTTTCCCCTTAGAGACAAGCGTTATGCAACTTGGGAGTCTTTTAGATAGATCCACTGAAGGGTACTCCAATTGCCTCACCCTGCGTCCCTGTTCAGCATGAAAGAAGCCAGAGTGGTCTGTGTCCCTATTCCCTATTGGCAATTTGGGTGTGATAAGAATAGGAGGTAGGAATTGGCTAGGCAGTTAGGGTGAAAAGACTCCAATGAAATGTAGCCATTTTCTTGGCTAAAAGTCAAAATGTCCTTGGGCCTGTCAGCAAAATACTCTGTTCCAAAGGTCAAAAATATCAAAAGTATTTGGGAGCTTGTATCTAATCCTTAAAAGATTTTAGGGTTACCTCTTCAGAGGGGGGATTGTTGGAGGGGAGGGAATGGGCATGTATTTGATCAAAACACCTTATATACATGTATGAAATTCTAAATAAAGTTTTTGTAAAAGTTAAAAAAAAAAAAAGCAACAGCAAATCTTCCTGTCAATGGCATTGGAGATTCAATGGAATAAAACTGAGTGTTTGACTCCCTGTTCTACGTGCCTGTGCTGCCTTCAAAAGAAAACTTTGATCAAGGCTTTATGGAGAGCCAATATTATTTGGTGGGCTGGTTATGTATTATTTCCTCCTAGACATTAAATAATCTATAAATTAAATAAAATAATAAATATTGGACACATTCCTAGTTACAACTAATAAAGGGGTAGAGGGGGGAGGGCCTTATTCTTAGGCCAAACTACTACAGAAATACTGAAACTCCACTGCTGGGACTCCTACTTTAATAATATATGCTGAAAATAAACGTAAAGAAAATAAATGTAGCTTTAAAAATAGTTAACAAAAAACTCCCTGCAGATATCCAGAACACAGCTCTAGAAATAATATTCATGCCAAGTTTGGAAGGGGAAACTAAAACCAAAGAATTACCTTCCCTATAGAAGAGATAAGACAGACATCTGAAAGTTTTGTTTCATTTATAGCTCTCTAAGAAAGCACTTTTCTCGCTATAAAAGTGGAGTGCTATATTTATCATTAGCTTTGTTAGCTAACACCTCTGGGCCTCAGCTAGAACCAGTAATTATCAAGGATTCTTCAGCCTATTTCAGAGATAAGAATTATAAAATAACTTGATTTACCATTAGATTAACCAGAAATCTATATAAATGCCAATTTCTTTAAAAGGACACCTAATTATACCAAAGTTGGTTTATCAAAACAGTGACATCTAAAATATTTTCTCTGAAGTCAAAGCAAAACATAACACTTGGGCAATTACACACTTACCGTCACAAGTAAAAGTAACTGGTAGTTGAAATCCTTCAATTTCAATAGAGACCTTCACACTGGCATTCTCTCCACATATGTTTCTCTGCACCGTGACTGGACTTAACAAATAGCCTGGATTTGTGCAGTGATTGGTATATGGAAATTTGGTCTTCAGTCTATTCACAAGAAAGAAGATATTAAAAGTCTTTTTTAAAAAAAAGAGTTGCATTTGAGAGCCCTGCACAAGGCTTTACAAGCTTTCAGCCACTCAATTCTGTGTCTCTGTCCAACTTCAGAGCAGCTCATGAGAATTGCAATGAATGAACCCCTGTCAAAACTCCAAATACCAGCATTTGCCTTTTAAATGAAAGGAAACTAAGGAAAAGGGATGAACTGGTGCCAGGAGATCTCTGGTAACACTGTTGGCAGACCCCGGCAGCAGACCCAGCATGCCTGAGATGAGGGCACTCAATAAGCTTCTCTGCTTTCTACCCTGGCCACAAGGTACAATTACACAATTGGTCTGTTTTTAATGCACCACTGATGACAGAGGCAATGAACTAAGACTGTAATTGCCAGAGGGATGAAAACTTTGTTGTCCTTTTAAATGTTTTTAAAGGGGCATTTTGTACAATCACTGTGGTTATAAGACAGGAGAAAAACAGAAAACGTATTTTCATAGTGTGGTGAGGCATTTATAGAGCTGTAAGAGCTTCATTCCCATCAAAGTTAGAAAATGTACTCATAGCAGCAACACAGGCTCTTCAACAGAACTGCTGTTACCGAAAATGAGGAGGGTAGTAAGATGGCTCAGCAGGTACAGGAGCTTTTACCAAGTCTGACAAACTGAGTTCAATTGCTGGGACCCACAGTGTGGAGAAAGAATCAACTTCTGTCAGCTGTCCTTTGACAACACATAAGCACACATACACACATGCACACACACATAAATCAACAATAAATACATAAATGTAATTTGAAAGTTAAACCAAGGAGGGGTTTAACATCTTCTTTGAACTCACTGGCTTCAGTAATTGACTTTTTCTTGGAGGACGGAAAACAGGTTCCAGTTCTCTCCCCATCTGGTTTTCTTTCTTTTTCTTCTGTTTTTTTTCCTACTTTTTTGCAGAGCTAGGGGGCTGAACCCAGGGTCTGACACATGCTGGGCACCTAGGCATACACTCTACCAGTAAGCTACGGCCTTACCCCTCACCTGTTTTTCTTAATGCCATAATGAAAAGAAAGCTGCAAATACTGTCTGTGTGCTTCTGTAGATACCAAAATGCTCAAGGCACACACACACTGAAAAGATGACAAGAAGAAAGGTTCTTTCTGGAGGCAGCAAATGTGACGGCCAATACAAAATCTCCAAAGCAAACTACGTGAATTTGAATGCTGACTTTACTGTGTGTTAGCTGTGTGAATTCAGTCAAGCTACTGAATCTCTTCGTTGCTTTTTCTTCTTTTTCTTCTATAAACTCAGTAATATGCTTATCTCTTAAGGTTGTCTAATAATATATAAAGTACATCTATAAAGTACTTAGTGCTACTATATAATAAATACTGTCAAGTTCTTATAAATCAATCAGTGGAGGAATAAATGTAGTTTCTACAATGTGGTCTCAAGTGACAAGCCAGATTCAATATTAAAGAGATGAAATGTAATAAAGGTGATATGAACTGAATTGGCACTGGAGCTGCACCTTCACATACGCACACTCCACCTTTATTTAGTTGCTGCCAAGCGTATCCCTTCCTAACACAATGAGACCTTAATTGGACCACCAAAGATTCTTATTATTCTCACATACTTGTTATTACCTAATTTGCTAAATCTTAGGAAATAGATTTACCTAATCAGAAAATTAATAGGTGAAATGGTTGAGAATTCTGTCTATATCCAAGACAGACTTCAAATCTTAGAAACCTTTAAGGAATACAAAAGAAATGATGAGAGCTTTAAAAAAATTGGGGAAATTCAGTAGTAATTTGTATTCAAAGAACTTGGCTTTACTTGGGGGGAAAGGATCCTTTATTTTCCTGTTTTATAGTCCTTTCCTTAACACAATTTTTTTCACATTTATTGTGTGTGTGCATGTTGGTATACCTGTGGCAGTCAGAAGACAATTTGCAGGAGTTGATTCTTTCCTTCCACCATGTGGGGTTGTAGGGATTGAACTCAGTCGGCAGGCTGGGCAGCAAACACCTTAATCAGTTGAGCCATCCGGCCAGTCGATAACGAAAAACTTTTTTTTGGTCTTTTTGAGACAGGGTCTCCCTGTAGCCCCAGCTGTCCTGGAACTCACTATGTAGACCAGGCTGACCTTTAACTCACAGAGATCCACCTGCCTCTGCCTCTGCCTCCCAAGTGCTGGGATTAAAGGCGTGTACCACCATGCCTAACTAAACTTTTAAACATTAAAAAAAATGTCATTAACTTATTAACTGTGTGTGTCAATGCCAAGTGTCTTCCTCAATTACTCTCCACCTACTTTGAAATAGGAGCATTCACTGAACCTGAAGCACATGAATTTGGCTAGACTGGCTGGCCAGCAAACCGCAGGGATCTTCCTATTTTCCCCTCCCCAGTACAGGGATGACTGGCAGCCACTACTATACTCAGCTTTCTATGTGGGTGCTGGGGATCTAATCCAGGTCCTCATGCATGGGCAGTAAGAATTTTACCAACTGAGTCATCTTCTGCCTGAAAGACTTTTTGTTATTAATTTTATTTTCTCTACACTTTCCATTTCTCTTTCACCCAGAGAAAAGGCTTTGTTGAGTAGAGTTCTAAACTTCACAAGTTTAATATCTAGGTATACATTTAAATTCTTTATAGCTTATTTTCCTACTGTGTACTCAATCAAGCTAAAATTCTGTTCAGAGATCCAAATCACACAAAACCAGAATGCCAAAAGAAGAAAAAAAAAAAATTAAGGTTTTAAAAGGCTTTCAATAGCCGGGTGTGGTGGCGCACGCCTTTAATCCCAGCACTCGGGAGGCAGAGGCAGGCGGATCTCTGTGAGTTCAAGGCCAGCCTGGACTACATAGTGAGTTCCAGGACTGCTGGGGCTACAAGGAGACACTGTCTCAAAAAGACAAAAAAAAAAAAAAAAAAAAAAAAAAAAAGTAAATAAAAGGCTTTCATGGAATTAACAATGCTTTATAGAAAAGATGAAAAGAATAGAAAAAAATTAAGGTTTTCAAAGGTTTTAATTGAATTAACACTGCTTTATAGGAAAGACGGAATTGTTTAGGATAAAATTAAGCCAGGCAAAGAAACACGTATCTATAACATCAGGCGGTAGAAGCATGGATAATTAAGGTCATCCTCAGCTAAACAGTGTGCTGGATAGCTTTAGTTGTCAACCTGCCACACCTGTGTAAAGAGAGCCTCAATTGGGGAATTGCTTCTATTGGACTGGCCTATGGGGGATCTTCTTGATTATTGAGTAATGTGGGAGAACTCAGCCCACTGTGGGCAGTGCCACCCCTGGGCAGGTGGTCCTGTATTGTATAAGAAAGCAGGCTGAGCATAAGCCAATAAGCATCGTTTCTCCATAGCCTGTACTCCAGGCTCCTGCCTCCAGGTTCCTGCCCTGGGCTCCCTGATAACTGTGACCGGGGAGATGTAGCCAAATAAACCTTTTCCTCTCCAAGTTGTTATTGATCAGAATGTTTTGTCACAGCGATAGAGAAACAAACTAGAACACACAGCAAGTTCAAGTCCAGCTTGGACCATCAGAGGCCCTGCCTCTAAATAAATAAAATAAATAAATACAGCTCAGTGGTAGAGTACATGCCTGATGCCCTGGATTCAATCTCCAATATTGCAAAACAAAACAAAACAAAACAACTTTACTGTATTAACATTCTTCTAAAAACTTTTCTCTATGCCGGCCATGGTGGTGCACACCCTTAGTCCCAGCACTCCAGAGAGGCAGAGACAGGTAGATCTCTGTGAGTCTTTTAAGGCCAGCCTAGTCTTCACAGTGAGTTCCAGGCCAAACAGGACTGCATAGTGAGACGTTGTCTCAAAACAAAAAAACAACCAACTTCTCCAAAAATTTTTCCTCTAGATCGCAACTGGTAGATAACAGGTTTTATCAATTGTAAGTTTAAAAGAAAAAGAAAAAAAAAAAAACCAATACAGTAAAAATGAAAGGCAGTCCTGAGTCAAAGTGTTTACAGGAGCTTTAAACTTAAAAGAGACCTTGAGTTCACTAGTTCAATTCTTTAACTTCAATGATTAAAAACAAGAAAAGCCCAGGCCTAGAACTGGCACAAAATTCTTAAATTTATTATAGCATAATCTGAACTGCAAAAATCACATCATAGTCTAATGCTAACTTCACATCTAAATTAAAATTACAGCATAATTTTATATCAAAAAACCAAGAGTTCGGTGTGATGGTACACGTCTTTAATCCCAGCACACAGGAGGCAGAAGCAGGAAGATCTCTGTGAAATCAAGGTCATCCTGGTCTACATAGCAAGTTCCCGGCCAGCTGCGGCTGTCTCAAAAAGACCAAAACAGTAACGACAATAAAACCCCCCTGGATACTACAGGTATAGCTCAGTAGTTGTGTGCATGCTGGGTTGAATCCTCCAAAGGGCAGAAGATTATGAATTTAAGGCCTGCTTGGGCTACATATCCAGATTCTGTCTCAAGGTGGGTCGGGGGAAGCCAGGAACCTAAGTGGGGGAGGGGAGAGCAGGGGGGGAGAGGAGGGGAGAGAGGGAGAAGGAGAAGGGGGGGAAGGGGAGGGGGGGAGGAAAGGAAAGGGGGGAGACTTTTTTTTTAAAAAAAACAGTATACTCCTTCAATCTACTGAAAAAAAAAATGACTATACTGTAAAAAACCACCACTAATTTCTTTGAGGAACATACATGCTAAACCCTCCATGGTTCTAGGGCAAGAAGAAAAATTCTTGGAAAATGTCTTTAAAAACACCTCTAGTTCTTACTATTCTGATAAATACTTGCCACAACCATACTATGTATTAATGGAAATCAAAGTACAAGAAAAATTGGTTCTCTATGTAGCTCATTTGGAGTTTCATAATACTAAGTGGAAAAATTCCCAAAGTAAACAACTTATAAATTTCAAATCGTACTGTTCAGACAGCATGAGGAAATTTCTTGGTGTTACACAGAACACAACTATTCCTTTCACCCACTGACACACCACACTTACATGTTACCACTCTGCCATCAGTCTCACTCAGCCATCTCCATTTTCAGATCAAGTGAGCCCCGATGGCCCTCCCCTTTTTAACCTAATAATGGGCCCTAAGTACAAGCACAACATGCTGGCAATTCAGATAAAACCAAAGTCATAAAGAACTTCCTTTAAGGGAAAAGAAAGAAATTTTGACCTAATAGGAAAATTAAAATTGGGGCTGGAGAGACGGCTCAGTGGTTAAGAGCACTGGCTGCTCTTCCCCGCAACCCACATGGCAGCTGATAATAGTCTATAACTCCAGTTCCCGGGGATTCAACCCTCTCTGCTAGCTTCCATGGGCACTGCATGATACAGGTGCACTTACATACATGTAGACAATACTCATACACACAAAATAAAAATATTTTTAAAAAAGAAAAAAAATCTAGGGCTGGAGAAATGGCTCAGCGGTTAAGAACAGTGGTTGTTCTTGCAGAAGGCCTGGGTTCGAATCCCAGCACTCACATGGCAGCTAACAACTGTCTGTAACTCCAGTCCCAGAGGATTCGACAGCCTCTTCTGACCTCCGCAGGCATTGCACAACACAGGTGCACTTACCTACAGGCATTGCACAACACGGGTGCACTTACCTACATGCAGGCAATACACACATACACATAAAATAAAGATAATAAAATTTTTAAAAAGAAAGAAATCTATTAAAAAAATCATGCTGAGATTGTTAAGGTCTATAGTAAATTACTGTTGTAATTTATAAATTTAAATTTTTAAAAATTTGTTTTAAGGGAAGGGTGTGTATGGAGGGCAGAGGACAACCAACATGAGAGGAGTCAGTTCTCTCCTTCCACCATGTGGGTTCCAGAGACAGATCTATATCACCACACTTGGTGGCAAGCACCTTTAGGCACTGAGCCATCTCACTGAACTTACACATTTAATCTTATCAGACACATAAGTATAAGAAGGAGAGATTCTGTGTCTAGTTTCAGGCATTCACTGAGGAGTTGGGAATGTAGCCTCCCTAACAAGGGGGGGGGGGCTACAGTAATCATTTAAGCAGTAAAGATTGTGACAACAGTTCTTGAGATTCTAAAGGCAGATCATCATATAGAGCTTAAGCATTCTACTTGCAAAGTTTAAATGTGGTACTTAATAAATAATCTAAAATAAAGTGTATAGTACTTGTTTGGGAAAAAAGGGGCTAGATAAAAAAATAGAACATTTCCAAGCCATTAAGGTTAAAGACTATTTCTAATCCATTAACCAAAATGACATGTATACTAAAAAATAATCTGAGAACCCCAAAGCCCACTTTAAAAAGCAGACTAACCATAGAAAGCTCTAGATCCAGAATAAATCTCCTGGTGGTGATCACTTTGTGTGCTTTGGAGAACAGACTCTGGTCCCTTTTGTCTTAATGTTTACTATTTCACTCTTCTGTGCAATTTTTCTGCTGGTTAAGATTTACTTTTCCAGTCAGGTGTGGTGACACATGCCTTTAATCCCAGCACTCTGAGGGCAGAGGCAGGTAGATCTCTATGATCTACATAGTGAGTACCAGGCCAGCTGTAGCTACAGGAAGACTGTCTCAAAAAGCACCCCCACAAAAACAAGTTTAAATTGGTTAACTATGTGAATTCCTGGATCATACTCAACTCTGCACTAGCAGTCTTCCTGCAACATGAATCGATCATGAACCAGTACCTGACCCTTCCTAGTGTAAGTTAGTTCAAGATGGGTTTCTAATACTTACAACACAAGTCCCAACATTAGTTGATATAAAAACATAATGGAAAGAAACATTTAACCAGGGGCAAAGGAAAGCTCAGCTGGTAGTATGCTGGCCTAGACTGCCTGAAGCACTGGGTTCCATCCCCAGCACTGCACAGAACTGAGCATGGCGGCTCAAACCAGTAATCCTAGCACTGAGTGGAAGCTGGAGGATCAGAAGGTCAAGATCACCCTCAGTTACATAGAGTTCAAGGCCAGCCTGGTCTACACAGGGAGTTCAGGCCAGCTGGGGCTACAGGGAGACAGACCCTGTCTCAAAAAGACCAAAGAAAACAAAAAACCCCCATTGAATACAAGAGAAAGTACTTAAGAACTACGTTTGTCTTCATCTTTAGAATATACTTGCTTTTATAATCTTGCCTTTTACCTGTTATAAGATGGAAGATTACTGAATAGGATATCATTTTTTTAAACTTTTTTTTGGTCTTTTGAGACAGGGTCTCCCTGTAGCCCCAGCTGTCCTGGAACTCACTATGTAGACTAGGGTGGCCTTGAATTTACAAAGATCTGCCTGCCTCTGCCTCCCAAGTGCTGGGATTAAAGGCATGCGCCACCACACCTGGCTCTTTTTTAAACTTTAAAATAAAAATAATAAATAAAAAAATTTTAATGTGTATGCGTGTATTCCCTGGCATGTAGATAAGGGCACCCGTGTCGTGTAATGCCCTCGGAGGTCAGAAGAGGCTGTCAGATCCCCTGGAACTGGAGTTACGGACAGTGTTAGCTGCCACGTGGATGCTGGGATTCAAACCCAGGTCTTCTGTAAGAACAGTCAGTGTTCTTAACTGCTAAGCCATCTCTCCAGCCCCTTAGGGTAGCATTTTGAATGCTACAAAGTTCATAAGGAAACGGGCATGGTTGTGTGTGCCTGTAAACCTGGCACTCAGGAGGCTGAGCCAAGACTGAGTTTGATCCAACCTGACTACATACTGAAAGCCTGTCTCCAAAGAATAAAAGTTAAAAAGAATAAGAAAAATTTTTGAGAGAAGGTGAAGTTTGTCTAAAACATGAGAAGGTATTTTTCTAAGTATACCGAAACAATTACGCACACCATGATTAACAGAGTATCAGAAACTTAGTCCTGGCCTTATTTAAAAAAAAAAAAAAAAAAAAAAAAAAAAAAAAAAGAAAAGAAAAAAGCCCTAAGATGTTTTGTGGCAATGTGCCAATTAACTGCTCAAAATTTTAGTCACACAAGGAAAATGATTACAATCAGTATCAAGCAGTTTGTTTCCGTTTGTTGTTTTTTTTTTTTTTTTAAACAGGGTCTCACTGTGTAGTCTGGCTGGCTCTAGAACTCAAGATCTGACTGCCTTTGTCTCTGCTGGGATTAGAGACAAGTACCATCATGCCCAGCCCTTAAGTTCTTTTTTAAATGAGCACTTTAAGAATCTATAATTCATAAAGAAAAATTCCTTACTTCATAATGGATTGACAAAAAGCTGCCACCTCCTCATTCTGTACTTCAAGTTCTTGTAGAAGAGAACTTCCAGTTGGCAAACTACTGGTCCCATTTGGGTCTTTCTGTAATTAAACAAAGTGGTTTTATTTTAAAAGTGAAAGATCTCCAAAACGCTACATAGCAGCACCTCACAAACTAATTTCATGAAGTTATTACAAAGCTAGAGATGAAACAAATCATGTAACAGGACTTTTAGAACAAGATCTCATCCTATATAATCCAGGCTGTCCTCAAACTTTCAGTGAGTCTCCCATCTCAGCTTAAATGTGGGATTACAAGCATGAGCCACAGACCTCCCCCCCCTAAAAAAATGTATTTTCTGGCACGCACCTGAAATTCTAGCACTGAGGAGGTGGGACAGGAGGATCTTCAGTTCAAGGTTTTTATATAGCCAAGACCCGGCCTCAGAAAACAAAGCAATACAACAAAAAAGTTTAAAGGCAATAATTGCTGGCCTAGTGTGGTGGTGCATGCCTTTAATCCTACTGCTGGGGAGGCAGAGGCAGGGGGATCTCTGTGAGTTCAAGGTCAGCCTGGTCTACATAGTGAGTTCCAGGTCAGCTGGGGTGACAGGGAGACCCTGACTCAAAAAGACCAAAAGAAAAAGGGAGGCAATAACTGCTTTATGAGCTTCCTTTGTTTAAACTGCGGCAGAGCAGTTTCTGCTAGAATGTGATATGTATATTTGGGGAGAAAAAAAATCTTAAAAATCACAAGTAAAAATAGTACAGCTTCTGGGAAACAGAGTTAAGGCAGACTATTCAAAATGCAAGTAAACCCTACCTAGAAAAAAAGTAGTTTAGCTGGACATGGTGGCTCACACCTGTAACACCTGGAGTTCCAGCCTGGCCTCACCTTAGGCTAAAACAACAAAAACAAAAAACACCAAAAAAAAAAAAAAAATCAGCTGGTTTGGTGTACAGAGCAGCAAAGTCTCAACTCAAAGTAGAAGGTAAGGCCCAACACCTAAGGTGGTTCTCACATCACCACACATATACCATTTAAATTAAAATAAATACATAAAATAGCCAAGTTCTCTGTTATGAAACTCTAAGCCACAGTCTTCTCCAATCTTACTAGTCTAATCTTTCCGTTTGATTGCTATGTTCCAATTAGCTTGAATCGTCGTCGTATTTTGTTCCTATAAAACAAAACGGGCTATGAATTTTGTCTAAAGTGTCTTCCTTGTCTTAATCCACCCTCATGTCAAAATTTAGTAACTTCGTTTTCTGAGATATGGTCTCACTACAGCACTGGCTGTCCTGGACCTTGCTATGTAGCCCAGGATGGCCTCAGAACTCACAGAGATCCACCTGCCTCTGCCTGATTGCTGAGATTAAAGGTGTGTACCACCATGCAACCACCCTCTAGGTAACTCAAAAATTTTTTTAATTTATGTGTATGAGTGATTTGCTTGCATGTGTGTAATTACACATGTGTTGGATGCCCAAGGAGGCCAAAAGGTGTCAAATTCCAGAAGAGAGCATCTGATTCCCCTGGAACTGGCGCTATGGATAACTGTTAGCTGCCATGGAGACGCTGGGAACTGAACCTGGGTCCTCTGAAAGAGCAGTCAGTGCTCTTAACCACTGAGTCATCTCTCCACTCCCTCTTCTAGTAACTCTTCATAGTACACTGAATGGCACTTCTGTATCTTACTCAGTATGAAGTAACTCCCTCAGCCCTTGTTCTGTTTGTGTATGTTATATGCATCTATGTATGTGTGTTTACGTGCACACATATGGAAACCAGAGTGTGATGTCTTCTTCAACCACTTTCTACCTTATTTTTGAGACAGGATCTCTCCCTGCACCTGGAGTTCACTGTTTCAGTTAAACTGGCCAGTGAGCCCTGTTGGGGTTATAGGCATTTCAGGACCCAGCTTTATTTATGTGAGGGGGATCTGGACTCAGGTCTTCATGCTTGCACAGCAAACACTTTATCCACTGAGCCATCTTCCCAGCACTTTTTAAGTGCTTAGTCTGAATCAAACACTGTATCATCACATCTTGGTTTGTGTGTCCTAGTATGAAAGCCTCCTAGAAAACAAGAACTAAATTCTGAATTTTGTATTTTTACAGAACTTCATATGCAGCTGAGAAGGCACTCAATCATCAGTTCAATCAGTTGAATATTTTGTTCCCTCTAAAAATGAATTCTTTCCCATAGGAACAATAAAACATTTTAAGAATATAAGACACTATGTGCTTTCTTCAATAACCCCCTAAGAAGAAGAGCAGTAACTTTCAGGAATGTTTCTTTAAAATAAACATTTTAAGTTATTGGTATTGTTTTAAAAATAACTTGTGCCAGGCATGGTGGCACATGCCTTTAATCCCAGCACTCAGGAGGCAGAGGCAGGCGGATCTCTGTGAGTTCAAGGCCAGCCTGGTTTACGTAGTGTGTTCCAGGACAGCTGGGGCTACAGGGAGACCCTGTCTTCAAAAGACAAAAAAAACAAAAATTTGTAACAGTAACTGACATTTACTGTGTCAGGCTCTTCCATAAGAAATGCACAGACATTCATTTATCAAGTTCTGTTAGATGGGTACTTTACAACTTCTGTCTTACAGATGGTGGGGGAAGGCATGGAGAAACTGGCTTATATTCAAAAATTTCCCTGATTAAAAAAAGGGGACTGGGGAATCCTAGTACGTGGGAGATGGAGGCAAAAGGATAAAAGTTCAAGACCAGCCTCAGCTGCATAGTAAATCTGAGGTCAGCCTAGGATTAGAAAACTGTCTCAAAAAAAAAAAAAAAGAAAAAAAAGAAAAAGGAAACTGTGGTCTTTGTGGAGGCAGAGCTGTAGAAACTATCACAGCTGATTTTACTAGTTTAAAAACAGATTCTAGCCGGGTGTGGTGACTCATGCCTTCAATCCCAGCAGTGGCAGGGGGATCTCTGTGAGTTCAAGGCCAGCCTGGTCTACATAGCCAGCTGGGGTTATATGGAGACCTGGTCTCAAAAAAACTGAAAAAACAAAAACCATCCATCACAGCATCTCAAACACAGAGAGGTAAAAACTCTCATATCTCCCTGCCCCGTCTTAGCTGTCCTGGAACCAAGCTGGCTTCAAACCCACAGAGATTTAGCTACCTCTGCCTCCTGAGTGCTGGCATTTAACGCATGTGCCACTGTGCCTGCTAAGAGTCTTCTCTCTTAAAGCATCTAAGACCAGTACCTTTCTACCAGTACCTTAGAATCTCAAATATAAAGCACTGACCAAGGAAGAACATCTGTGATTATAGAAACGAGACAGTCAGGTATGGCAGTGTACCACCCTTGTAACCCCAGAACTTGGAAACCAGAAGTAGGAGAATCAGGAGTTCAAGCACACTTGTAGCTACATAGGGAGCTCCAGACCACTAGGGCTCTAACACTCAACAAACAGAAAAAACAACCAAGACAAACTTTTAGAGCTCAGTGATGGTGCACGCCTGTAATCTCAGTATTTGAGAGGCTGAGGCAGGAGTTTGAGGAGTTTGAGGTCAGCCTGGGCTACACAGCAAGATCCTGTCTCAAAAAAAACAAACAAAACAAAAAAAAAACCAATAACTAAAAAGGACAAAATTTTTGGAGTAATACCTATGTTGAAAGGCTAGACAAAGGATAGGGAATCAAAGATCACAAGGAAAACTAAGTATATTTATCTAGGACATTAGAAGTTTCAAGAAAAAGATGTAATGAATTTTTGAAAATTAAGCAAATAGGTATAACAGAAAATGGTCACTGAACTGTCAATGTTTACCAGTTACCTGTTTCTGTAACAGGAAGAACAAAGAGATACCAAGAGACCAAAAGACAGGAAGTAGAGGCTACAGAGAGGGCTAAGCAGTTAAGAGCACTGCCTGATCATGCAGAGCACCTGGGAGCAGTTCCCAGTACTCACAAAGTGGCTAACAACCATCTGTAACTCCAGTTCCAGAGAATCTGATGACCTCTTTTGGCCTCCATGGGCATTGTATAACACAGGTGCACTTACATACATACAGTTAAAATACTCATATACAAAAAATAATTTTTTTGGGGGGGTGTCTTTTTGAGGCAGGGTCTCTCTGTAGCCCCAGCTGGCCTGGAACTCACTATGTAGACCAGGCTGGCCTTGAACTCAGAGATCCGCCTGCCTCTGCCTCTGTTGGTATTAAAGGCAGGCACCACCACACCCAATTTTTTTTTTTAAAGAAAAAGAAAGGTTTTAATAAGCACAAACTTTTCCTTAAAGATTAATGACTTTGGAGAAATAGGAACACCTGGGGATAAGAAAAGAGGTGTCAGGGGAGGGAAGGAACAGCCATCTCTTCCTTCTAAACCATTGAGAAAAAAGAAGATATGCAATGTGGGCAAGTTAACACAACAGGCAGCCTTGTCCTTGGTTTTAGGGTTTGAGGAGGTCATGAGCAGAAATAAAGGTTTTGGGTTAAGGAAAGCAGTTAAGGTTTAAAACAATTCACAAAACTTATCAGTATATCATCTGATTTTTTAAAAATTATTAAAGTAGTTTTAAGAACATTATACAGAAGCCAGACCTAGTGGCCACACCTGTAATCTCAGCACTGAGGAGGCTGAGGTAGAATGTCTGCACAAGTTCAAGGCCAGCCTAGACTACATAATGAGAAAACAGCCTAGTCTGGGCCACAGAGTGAGACCTTATCTCCGGGAAAGCAAAATGCCTAACAAGTTTTAAAGCTCATACTATACAACTTATAAATTAGATGAAATTAAAGTTTTTAATGACGGTACTTTAATAATATCAGTTACTATTTAGAACTAAGCTGGTTACTTCCTTATTTGTGTTTAATATTTCCCAAGATATTTGAGTTATTAAAATGTAATCAGCTATGGGGCTAGAGAGATGGCTCGGTGGTTAAGAACACTGACTGTTCTTGCAGAAGACCCGGGTTCGAATCCCAGCACCCACATGGCAGCTAACAACTGGTCTGTAACTCCAGTTCCAAGGGATCCAATGGATTCTTCTGTCCTCCTCTTGCACTGCACGACATGGGTGCACTTACCTACATGCAGGCAACACACTCATACACATAAAATAAAAATAAAATGTTTT